GTTTTAACTTATACCCTCCTACCCCACCTCCCAGCATTTGTCTATCATTTTGTTGTACAATGGTGGCTTGCATGTTGCCACGATTCTAGAAGCTATGTCACAGTTATTTTAAATACCAACAGGGTCACCCATGGAGGACAGATTTCAGCTGAGCTTCCAGATGAAGAGGACTAGGAAGAACAAATGGACTACTTCTGAATATTTAGTCACTGAAAACCTTATGAATAGCAGTGGAACACTTTCAACACCAGAATATTGAATACTGAAACATGATGAAGAGCCCCAGAATGCTGTCAGATATAGTGCTAGAAGATGAGCCCATCAGGTTGGAATGCACTCAAAATACAACTGGGGAAGAGCTGCCTCCTCAAAGTAGAGTGGACCATAATGACAAGAAAAGAATAAAGCCTTTGGGACCTTTATTTGCTGATGGGCACAACTAAAAATGAAGAGAAACAACTGTAAACATCCATTAATAATTGGAACATGGAATGTATAAAGTATGAATTTAGGAAAATTGGACATAGTCAAAAATGAAATGGAACATATAAACATCAATATTCTAGGCATCAGTGGGCTGAAATGTACTAGTGTTGGCCATTTTGAATCTGACAATCGTATGGTTTACTTTGCTGGATATGACAAATTGCAAAGGAATGGCGTCACATTCACCATCAAAAAGAATGTATCAATATCTGTCTTGAAATACAACACTGTCTGTGATAGGATAATGTCAATATGTGGTGCTGTGGTTTAATGTGCTAGACTGCAAAGTTGGTTTGAACCACAGGGCAGGGAGGTCAAGCTAACCAGCCACTCCTTAAAAACCCTATGTAGGGTTGCTGTAGTTCAGAACTATCTCCAAGGCACTTAACAATAACAACAAAAAGACCAGTTAATACCAATATTATTCAAATTTACATACCCACCACTAAAGCCAGTGATGATAAAATTGAAGAATTCTACCAACCTTCTCAGTATGAAAGTGATCAAACATGCAATCAAGATGTATTGATAATTACTAGCGATTGGAGTGATAATTACTGGCGATGGAGTGCAAAGGTTGGACACAAAGAAGAAGGATCAGTAGTTGGAAAATATGGCCTTGGTGGTAGAAACAATGCTGGACAGCCCATGGTAAAATTTTGCAAGACAATGACTTCTTCATTGCAAATACCTTTTTAAAACAACATAAAATATGGCTATACACATGGACCTCAACAGATCTAATACCCAGAAATCAAATAGACTACATCTGTGAAAAGAGATGATGAAAAGCTCCATACCATCAGCCAAAACGGGGCCAGGGGCAGACTTTGGAACAGACCATCAATTGTTCACATGCAAATCCAGTCTGGAGCTGAAGGAAATTAAAATAAGTCCACCAGAGCCAAAATATGACCTTGAATATATCCCACCTGAATTTAGAGATCATCTCAAGACAGATTTGATGCATTATACACTAAGGACCAAAGACAGAAGAGTTGTGAGATGACATCAAGAACATCATACAGGAAAAAAGCAAAAGGTCATTAAGAAGACAAGATAGAAGGAAAAGACCAAAATGGACATCAGAAGAGACTCTGAAACTTGCTCTCCAGCATAGAGCAGCTAAAGAAAATGGAAGAAATGAGGAGGTAAAAGAGCTAAATAGAAAAAATTTAAAGGCAGACAAAGTCAAATATTATAACGAAAAGACCTGAAGTTAAAAAAAACAAAAGGAAAGAACATGCTGAGCACTTCTCAAGCTGAAGGAAATGAAGAAAAAAATTCAAGCCTTGACATGCAATATTAAAGAACTTTATGGGCAAAATAATTGAATGATTCAGAAAGTATCAAAAGAAGATGGAAGGAATACACAGAGTCACTGTACCACAAAGAAATGGTCAGTGTTCAACCATTTGAAGAGGTAGCACATGATTAAGAGCCAATGAGACTGAAAGAAGGAGTCAAAGGTACACTAAAGGCATTGGCAAAGACCAGTGCCCCAGAAACTGATGGGATACAAATTGACATTTTTCAACAAACTGGTGCAGCATGGAGGCACTCACTCATCTATGCCAAGAAATTTCGAAGACAACTACCTGGCCAACTGACTAGAAGAGATCCATATTTGTGCCCATTCCAAAGAGAGATAACCCAATGGAATGTGGAAATCATTGGACAATATCTTTGATATCCCATGCAAGTAAAGTTTTACTTAAGGTAAAACAAAAACAGCTGCAAGCATACACTGACAGAGAGCTTCCAGAGGTTCAAGCCAGATTCAGAAGAGGACATGGAATGAGGGATATCATTGCTGATGTCCGATGGATCTTGGCTGAAAGCAGAGAATACCAGAAAGATGTTTACCTGTGCTTTATTGACTACGCAAAGCCTTTCGATTTGTGGATCATGACAAGCTATGAACAACATTGTAGAGAATGAATTTTCATGAACACTTATTTGTGCTCATTAAGAACCTTTCATAAACCAAGGGCAATTGTCTGAACAGAAGAGTGGAATACTGAATGCTTTAAAATTAGGAAAGGTGTGCACCAGAGATGTATTCTTTTACTGTATTTACTCAATCTGTATGCTGAGCAAATAATCTGAGAAACTGGATTATATGAAGAAAAACATGGCATCAAGATTGGAGGAAGACTTACTAATAACCTATAATATGCAGATGATACAATCTTCCTTGCTGTAAGTGAAAAGGACTTTAAATACTTACTGATGAAGATCAAGGACCACAGGCTTTGGTATGGGTGACACCTCAGTGTAAAGAAAACAAAATCCTCATCCCTGGGCTAATAAATAACATCCGTATAAATGGAGAAATGATTGAAGTTTTCAAAGACTTCATTTTGCTCTGATCAACCATCAACTCATATGGAAGTAGCAATCAAATCAAATGACATATTGCATTGGGCAAATCTGCTGCACAAGACCTCTTTAATGCATTAAAGAGCAAAGATGTCAGTTTGAGGACTAAGGTGCGCCTGACCCAAGCCATGGTATTTTCAGTGAACTCATATGCATGTGGAAGTTGGACGGTGTTGGAGGAGAATATTGACAGTACTATGGATTGCCAAAAGAACGCACAAACTGTGTTGGAAGAAATACAGCCAGAATGCTCATTAGAAGCCAGGATGCTAGACTTCGTCTTTCATACTTCAGATATATTATCAGGAGGGACCAGACCCTGGAGAAGGATATGTTTGGTAAAATGGAGAGTCGAAGAAAGAGAGGAAGACCCGCAACAAGATGAATTGGCACATTGGCAGCAGCTATGGACTCAAATTTAGCAACGATTGTGAAGTTGGTGTAGGAAAGGGCATTGTTTCGTTCTGTTGTGCATAGGGCCCCTATGATTTGTTACTAACTCAATAGCACCTAACAACAACACCTCCATTATATCCATCTACCTAATTAACTTTCATTAATTCTTCAAGTTTTAACTCAGCCATTACTTTCTTAAGGGAATCCTTCCTTTCCTCGATAAATTTATATATGTTATCAAAGACCTATATCCAGTTTTGTTGTTGTTAGGTGCCGTTGAGTCTGTTCCAATGCGTAGTGATCCTTTGCACAACAGAACAAAACACTGTGCTGTCAGTCCTGTGCCAGTCTCACAGTCTTTGGTATGCTTGAGCCCATTGCTACTTACACTGTACCAATCAATCTCATTTTAGGTATTATACTTTTTCAATGAGCCTCCACTATACCAAGCATAATGCTCTTCTCCAGAAACTGCTCCCTCCTGATAATGTGTCATAAGTGTGAGAGAAGAAGTCTTGTGAGTATTCTGGTTGTACTTCTTCCAACACAGATTTGTTTGTTCTTCTAGCAGTCCACGGCACTTTTAATATGCTTCTCCAGCATCATAATTCAAATGCATCCATTCTCCTGTGGTCTTCCCCATTCATGGTCCAACTTTCACATTCATCTGAAGCTATTGAAAATACTGTGGCTTGGGTCACACATACCTTATTCCTCAAACTAACATCTCTGCTTTTGAACACTTGCAAGAGTTCTTGTATGTCCCTGGCTTTTTGAAAGTTCATTTGCCTTTACTAAAGACCCACATTAGCAACTGTTATTGCAAATAGAAATCCTAAGAGGATTTTTGCTTTTACAAAAAGTCAAACAAACCAGAATTTCTATTGTAGAGAGCCACTAAAGAGACATCAGAAAGGCTCCTTACCAAAAACCTACACTTAGCACCTTTGAACTGTGTCTGAATACTATGTTGTTGTTGTTAAGTGCCATCGAGTCAGTTCCGACCCATAGCAATCCTGTATAGAGTTTCCAAGGAGAGGCTGTGAGCTTGAATCACCAGCCTGGTGGATCAAACAAACTTTACAGTCCAGCGCGTTAACCCACAGCGCCACACATGACTCCTACATTAGAGTTATTTTAGGTTTTATGCTAAACAACACAGAATAGGCTTTTTTTTTTTCAATCTGGAAATGCTCAGAATAATTTTCCCCTATAAACTAACGATAATTGATTCTTTTATGTTTAAATAAAATTGTTTAAAATTTTAGCTTACATAAGGTTTCATAGGAACATTTTCTATCAAATAGTAGGGAAAATCTGTGCCTCTCTTTCAAAACAGTTTCCACAGTTATCATTTTATGTTTACTATTTGAAGAATAATTTCATTAATGAATGATATTTTTAAATGTCTTCATTATAAAGAATCGCTTCCTTTTTTTATTTAAGTTGTGTTCCTATTTTTTCATTGCACGTTTTAATTACTTTATGGGGCATAGTGTTTTCTTGCTGATCTTGTCACAATTCTTTATTTAATCAGGAAGTTCATATATATGTCTTTGATTCATTTTCTCTTTCCATTCATTCACTTTCCATTGGCACACTTCCCCCCTTAAATGTGCCTTACTTCATTTAGATAAAAGCCCGAGCATGGAAATGAATCAAGTACCTTTTTATGTTTCTCTGATGCACTCAGGTCTGCACACAAATAAATGTTTTCCTTAAGCTTTCCTTCTCAGTTTTATTCGTGGCCACATCTCAGGCAGCATCAATATTCCATTCAGCGTTGCATTCACGGCAGAAGGAGAGCTTACTCAGGCCCCTTGTACTACTATGCTCCAGAGTTTCAAAGGGAAGGTCATTGTTATCGTGGGACATGTGGCAAAGCACACAGCTGAGGTAAGTGGACTCAAATGTCATATGTACATGTGGTGAGTTATTGTGTACTATCTAGGATATTTAATGGTATATTTCTTCAGGACTTATTCACAAATGAAATGACCTTTGGAAAATCTATCTGTATTATTTATAAGAGTTTGTCTGTCTTTTCCCCAATAATAGTTTTCACGCTTTTTTCTCCTTAGTTTAGCATCAGAAGCAACAGTGTTGTTGTTAAGTGCCATGGAGTCCGCTCCGACTCATAGCAACCCTATAAGGAGCTCTGGTAGCTAGTGATTACGAATCCGGCTGCTAATCGTTTAATCAGCAGTTCAAAACAATCAACCGTTCCGCGGGAGAAAGATGAGGCTTTCTGCTCCCGTAAAGATTTACAGCTTCGGAAACCCTGTACAGGGTAGCTATGAGTCGGAACTGACTCCACGGCACATAACAATAACAACAACATAGAGCTTTTTAGGAGCAGCTGGTGGGTTTGAACTGCCAACCTTGTAGTTTGCAGTCCAAAAGTAGGTTTAGAAAATTCCAAATGGCAACTTAAAAAAATTTTTTTGTTTGTTTATTTTCTAACTGCTTTCTGAAATTGCAAAGAAGTGGCTTGCATTCCCTCTGGAGAAAAACAATGGGGCTTGATGAGGCTCCGAAAGCTGGTAAATAGGCAATTTGTTGGATATGGAAGTTTATTTACATAAAACACAAAGCTTTTTATGACAGAGAATTCACGAAGGATATCAGCTTTCAGATTATTTGTGGATACATTTGTAGATAATCACATGAATTAATTCCTCAAGTGTGGAGATTGATCCTATCCCCACTTTCCCACTTCTCAATCATTTCTGATACCAGCTGGCATACTGTGATGCTAGGGCAGAGCTCACAAGTTAAAAGCACATTGTCATTCAGACTGCCAAATAGGCAGACACCAGCCACAAGTTTGAGAGTTGCCATGGCACCATCACTTTTACCTGCTGGTTCCCCCTTCTCTTTGGGTTTGGTAATTTTCTGTAATGACTCACAGAATTCACAGACAGCATTACACTTATATTATAGATTTGTTATAGCAAAGGAATGTAAATCAGGATCCTCATGAGGACAAGAAGCATGGTTAAAATCTGGAAAGGTTTCAATGTGGAAGTTTCCACATTCCAAAGAGGTCATATCATCTGCTCTTCACCAACCAGGAAGTTCTCTGAGTCTTCACGACCTTGGCATTGATTGTTTAGTATGGACTGCTGGTGTGGCACTGTAGGATCAGCACTGGACTGCAAACCATAAGGTTGGTGGTTCAAACCCATCAGCTGCTCCTTGCTAACCCTGTACAGGGTCACTATGAGTCAGAATTGACTTGACAGCACTTAACAACAACAACATGGCATAATAGGAGTGCTGGTATGGATAAAGTATTAGACTGCAAGGTCACTTTGAACCACAAGGTCGGCAGTTGAAACTCACCAGCTGCCCCTTGGAAGCCCTATACAAGGTCACTATCAGAAACTTGATGGCGCTTAACAACATGGCAAAATAGAACTCCTGGTGTGGGGCTGTAGGATAAGTGCTGGACTGCAAACCACAAGGTCAGTGGTTTGGCGGTTCAAACCCACCAGCTGCTCCTTGGAAACCCTATACAATGTTGCTACAAATCGGAACCAACTCAATGTCACTTAACAATAATGATGGCATAATAGGTTAAATAATGCTTCTGGAAGCTAATTGACTTCCCAGGTGAATCTTTTCTTATCATATCAGCCCCATTCACTAGTACAAATCCTCAGTTGTGGCCTGGAAGTCCCAGACCAAGGAACCCCAATTGTTCCAAGGGATATTTCTACAGATCTAAGGGCAAAGGTTATCTTACTTTGGAAAATACTTTATCACATAAGATTTGTAGAGTATCTGTGGTGCTGTAGGATAAGCACTGAACTACTAACCACAAGGTTGATGGTTCAAACTCACTAGTTCCTCCTCAGAAACCCAGCTCTGTGGGTCAAAACCAACTCAATGTCAGTTAACAACAACAATAACGTGGAAGAAAATAGCTTCCATCTCCCTTAGCTCCCAGGATTTTGCTAGTTTTCAACAAATTGAAAAATAAAATTTTAAAAGACAATCATATTAGAATAAAAAATAACACCTTTATATTATATAAAAAGCCAAGATGAGGGATAGGAAGTTTAGTGTGTGAGCCAAGTAGACTTGCTAACAGATCATACATAGGCCATATATAGATGTTGTTGTTGTTAAGTACCGTTCAGTCGGTTCTGACTCATAACAACCCTGTATAGGGCTTCTGAGGAGCAGTTGGTGGGTTTGAACCACCGGCCAGTGCTTATTCTACAGTGCTACACCAGTCCTCCCAGATGTAGGCAATAAACCAGAAGACGTTAAAGTATTGACAGATGTACTCCTGGGAAAGCAGCAGAGGTAGGTTGCTCCTTAAGATAGCTTGTTCCCAAGAGGAGGAAGGTCAGGACTAAGCTTTCTGAAATTTGCCAATTTAATAAATTATGTGAATTTCTAGGGGCAGAATAAAGAGAAAGGACAAGAAAATGCTTAGAAAAATTTCCTCCTGGTGATGTCAGGAATAGAGATAAAACAGTCCCCTCAAATATACACATTCCGCCACTTGTCTGTCAGTGATGTACTGTGATGGCTTGTGTGTTACTGTAATGCTGGAAGATATGCCATTTGTATCTTAAATACCATCAGGGTCACCCAAGGTGGGCAGGTTTCAGCCAAATTTCCAGACTAAAACAGAGTAGAAAGAAGGAAAGGTAGATCACTTCCAAAGGGTTAGCCCTTAAAAACGCATGAATAGCAGCAGAATATTGCAACATACGGTATCAGAAGATGAGCTGCTCAGCTTGGAAGGCACTCAAAATAGGACTGGGCAAGAGCTGCCTCCTCAAAGTACAGTTGATTTTTATGGCATAGCTGGAGTAAAGCTTTTGCAACCTTCACTTGCCTAATGGGGAGCAACTCAAAATGAGAAGAGAAAGCTGGAAGCATCCATTAATAATTGGAACATGGAATGTATAAAGTATAAATCTAGGAAAACTGGAATTTGTCAAAAGTGAAATGGAACACATAAAGATATTCTAGGCATTAGAAAGCAGAAATGGACTGGTATTGGCCATTTTGAATCAGACAATCATGTGCTTTACTATATTGAGAAAGAAAAATTGAATAGGGATGGCATTGAATTCGTCATCAAAAAGAGCATCTTGAAGTTTGTGATAGGATAATATCCAAACACCTACAAGGAAGACTCCTGGTATGGCTCTGTAGGATCAGCACTGGCCTTTGAACCACAACATCAGCAATTCAAACCCATCAGCTGCTCCTCAGAAACCCTATACAGGGTCACTATGGGTCAGAATCAACTTGATGGCATTTAACAACAACGACAAGGAAGATCAGTTAATAACACTATTATTCAAATTTACACACCAACTACTAATACCAGTGGTGATGCTGTAAAAGAATTCTGGTAGTTTCTTCAGCCTGAAATTGATCAAACATGTACTCAAGATGCATTGATAAATACCAGTGATTGGAATGTGAAAGCTGGAAACAAAGAGGAAGGATCCTTATTTGGAAAATATGGCCTTGGGTATAGAAACAGTGCTGGAGATTGCATGATAGAATTTTGCAAGACCAATGACCTATTCATAAGAAATTCTGGTAGTGTAGTAGTTATGAGACAGGCTGCTAATCTCATGTTCAGCCATTCGAAACTACAGCGGTTCTATGGGAGAAAGATGAGGCTTTCTACTCCCATAAAGATTTACAGCCTAAGAAGACCTATACAGGGTGGCTATTAGTCAGAACCAACTCTACGTCACATAAGCACCACCAATGACTTATTCATAGCAAAGACCTTTTTTTAAACAACAGAGAAGGAGACTATACACATGTACCTCACCAGATGGAATACACAAGAATCAAATTGGCTACATTTGTGGGAAGAAACAATGGAGAAGCTCAATATCATCATGTTGTTGTTAAGTACCGTGGAGTCGGTTCTGACTCATAGTGACCCTGCACAGGGTTTCCAAGGCTGCAAATCTTACTGGAGCAGAAAGCTTCATCTTTTTTCTGCAGAATGGCTGTAGTTTCATACTGCCGACCTTGAGGTTAGCAGCATGATTCGTAACCACTACACTACCAGAGCTCCTTCGATATATCAAGCCAAAATATGGCCAGGGCTGACTGTGACACAGATCACCTTTCTCATATGCAAGTTAAAGCTGAATGTGAAGAAAATTAAAACAGATCCATGAGAGCCAAAATATGATCTTGAACAAATATGTCCTACCTGAATTTAGAAACTATCTCAACAGCAGATTTTTCTCAATATAGGATTCACAGAACTTTAGTTATTGATTCGCTTGCACTGTTGTGCTATCTTTTTGCCTACTGCACAGATCTGTGTGTTATTACTTTAACTAATACTAGTTATGGTGTGTTGCTGTGGACCAATGCACTGGACTGTAAAGTCAGTTTGAACCACAGGGTAGCTTATTCAAGCTCATCAGCTGCTACTTGGAAACTCTACACAGAGTCACTATGGATTGGAACCAGCTTGACGCCACTCAAGAGCAGCAAAAGTGGAAAGGAAGGAGTCCTGGTAGCACAGTGGGTGTTAGGCATTGGGCTGCTAACTGCAAGATCAGCAGTTCAAATTCACCAGCCATTCTAGCTGCTCCATAGGCATAAGATGAAGCTTCCTGATCCTGTAACGATTTACAGTTTTGGAAACCCTATACAGGGTTACTATGAGTCAGAACTGACTAGATGGCACACAGCCACCACCACAACCATTGAAAGCATTTCCTTTTAAACCATATTTACTGAAACTATTCTGTTATCTGCTATTGTGCTGGCTATCTTCCACTAGTCCTACCTTCCACCCAGATCCGTTCTACAACTGTCTTCTCTGCCCCAGAATGCTGACTTCCATGTCTTCTGGCTTCCAGTCGTTTAGTTAAAGGGGCATTCTGACA